CACCTTTAACATGTCTCACATTATCACAGTTTATTCGCTATAGTTTAGAAAATGGTAATAAAATATGACAAGAACTCAGAGTTAAACTGTGTCAGAACAAATTCATCTTGATAATGTCAGATACCTTTGATAGAAAGGTATGTAATGAATTAGACTGTCAGCTGTTAAAGTAGACAATTAGAGAATACCAATTTAGCTCAATTACCAAGCAATGCTTCATTTTGTTCAGTCTGTGCTGTATAAAGGTCGCATTTAGCAATTAAAGAAAAAAACATTTAAGCAAAACACGGTCAGGTCAAAGTGTTTGAATCATTTTGTATCAGTTTTACTGGTAGTCCACAGTATGAAGAATTTGTGGTTATAATATGTCACAGTTTACTTTATTTTGCTCTCCTCACTTACACACATGATCTATAGTGTCCTGCACCCACTAGTAAAAAAATATCAAAAAATCATATCTGCTGTCTGAATCATTTTTTGGTTTGACTGACAGTAAAGTGGCATTTCATATTGACTTGAGCATCTGGTTTTTCCAGCTGTTGTGTGTCGTGTCGTGTGGATCTGACAGGATCTGTTGGTCTAGTGAGCATGTGCCAGTGTTTAACGCTCATGCGTCTGTGTACTATTCTCAACTCAGGAAGAATTTACACAGAGACGAGCCTCGACCTGCCCGCGGCCTGCAGATACGGTGGATAAACCGCTCGCGTTTACAATGTTCCTTCTCCTTTATTTGTACTTCAGAATTAAACACACTGACGTGAGACATGAGGCTAAATAAAGGCAGACCTATATCAGTCGGGCCAAGGCCTATAAAATCAAATCGCTTTTATAAAAAGAGCTGAGGGTGAGAGAGCAACATGACAGAAACCCCCACAAACACACCGCCGGCTGTCTGTCTGACAGAGAGAGAAATACTCGGCTGAATGTGCTTTAAAGTGAGCCTATTTCTAGTAATCAGAGTCTGTCTGGTGCTTTCTTTGCTTGGCTTCTTTTGGAAGGAAAGTCCACCAAACAAAAACAACTCTCTAGATCACAAAACAACACTATAATGGTACAGTATATGCCATGAATTGAATAATAATTAATAAAAAATATTCATAGTGAATATTCATAATACTCATAGTTATTGCACTCTAATGATTACAGTTACATGTTGTATATTTTAATCATTAAAAAATATTTAAATGAATGTTGCTTCAGATGCTTAAAACAATCAGAAAACAATATCAGTTCATTTCTGTTTATTATTCCATAATATAGAAACATGCAAAATAACTTTGCAAACATGTAATGATATAGGCCATATACATTAAAATAATTACAAAAACATTTATAATGCATGTGCATTTTTTTTATTAATTAATTAATTTTAAGCTTTTTTATTCATATTTATTTATTTAATTTCCAAATGTACATTTTGGGAAACACAGTAAGTTCATATAAAAAGCACAAAAAATGAGGAAAAGGCATCTGAGAGCAATTTTAGGTATTAAATGAAAAGAAAGTAATAAATAATAAACATAATAAATATTAACTATTTTCAGCTGAAACAATTAACTTTACCTACTGTCCCTTTACTTTGTAACAGTTGAAATAAACTTCAAAAAAAGTTACATTTTTGCTTTAAAATACATATTTATGTACACATAGAGCTTTAAAATGAATACAGATCCGCTCAGATAAATATTAACTATTTTCAGCTGAAACAATTAACTTTACCTACTGTCCCTTTACTTTGTAACAGTTGAAATAAACTTCAAAAAAAGTTACATTTTTGCTTTAAAATACATATTTATGTACACATAGAGCTTTAAAATGAATACAGATCCGTACTATTAGTTTTTATTCTTATTTTGATTTTGGTTTCATTTTTTCAGATTATATCAGAAATGATGGAGTTCTTCCTGACGTTGATCACAGGTTTTGGCTTCTTGAGCAAGTCTGAGGCCAGTTTGAGACATTGTTGAGATCTCTTGGAGACTACTGCCGTCTTTCACTTCAAATACAAGCTTTCTTCGTTTTGCAAAGCCGATTGTAATTCTTTAATTTTGTGTAAATATATTCTTCAAAAACCAAGCCTAATCTCTATATTATTATAAAAATCCCCAAATTTGGCTCAGGGTCAAGCGGTCATCCATCACACGAGTCATCAGGATCGATCTGAAGAGCCAGAACCTCCCACAAATCATCCACCCAGCTCCTGACGCCTCACATCCTCATTAATCACTGATGCAAATGATGAATAGCAGCCAATTAATCGTGACATTCTCTCATTAATCTAGATGCTGACATATTGAAAGACAGGGGTGACAGAGGAAGTTTTGCTTGCTCGCATAAAAAATAAATAAACCCCGCTGGAAAATCCTTTAAATCTCTACTGATTAAATAAATAAATAAGCAAGCTATTTTATTTTATTTTAATTTAATTTAATTTTATTTTATTTTATTTTATTTTATTTTTATTTATTTTTTTATTCAGAGGCAGACAAAGTACCCAACTCCAGTACTTGAGTGAAAGTACAGATACTGCTGGTCAAATATTACTCCATTATAAGTGAAAGTTGTAAAGACACTTAAGTAAAAGTACAGAAGTACTTGCATTTAAAAGTAACACTCAAAAATACTCAAGTAAATGTATTTCAATACTCTCCACCTCTGTATATTATATTATATTATATTATATTATA